TAATTACCGCCGCGTGTAATTAATTGACCGTCCCGATCAATCAACCGGCCGCTCCCGGCCGAGCTAATTAGTCGCGTTCATAAAGGCCGGTTATTGTTCCTAGAATCATTGTCATCGCGGCGCGCCATTGTGCCGTTAGAAAGCGTACGCGCGCGGACGTTTCATGGAAATCCACCTTCTTCCCTCCTCTCTTTCTCCTTTCTGCATTATCCGATCCTAATCGGCGGCGCGTTTTATTTGCCGAGCACCTTTTTCACGTGAAAATTCCCCAGACAAAATGGAAACTAAATAGTACTCGGAATAAATTAATTCAACAATTAAGTCTACAACTATTGAAAGAACTTTCGACTTACACGTCTCAATCCTAATTGCCTCGCAATATTTTATATATGTCTCGACATCATACATATCGAGATTTTATATATATATATATATATTAGTCTTAATTAGTTCCAGACATTTCATAAAAATTTCATTGACGCAAATATTAAGTTTTTTCCCGAAATAATCGCCGAATATAAAACCGATTGCTTTCCTAAATAACTGCCTAAATAGGAAAAACTTCTGATTGCATCTCGTTTCGACCTGTTCTCCGCTTCTCGCGTTAATTGACCCCGGATAATTAGTTATCGCCGCGCCTGGTAATTAGAAAGCAGCAGTACTCACACGTCGCCGGTTGCTGGGGTATTTGGGCCGCGTGTGTGCTGCTGTGCCTCGCTATTGTGATCTGGAACAAAAAAATAAACGGCGTCCGTTAGATCGGCCAGGGATTATTCCTAGATCCCGGAGGGAAACGGTCCGGCTCGTGGGATCTCGTTCCGAAAGCCTGCCCTCTTGATCCTAGTCTTTTTACAGAGAGATATTCAGTCATTATATCACAGTGACTGTGCTTCTGTCGTTCGTTGACTCGACTTTTTTTTATGTAACTACGGAAGAAATCGCGTAATCGTTTCATCAGATACGCAGCAGGTATTTATTATTATTTGAATCTGTATCTCTGACTCTTTGCTCTCGTTTCGTTTCGATTGCACATCATACCACTATATTTAAATTTCAATAATCGCAATGATAACTTTCCATTACAATCTTTCGTTCGATCTTTACTCCAATTTCGCTTCCTTTCGATCGGCCATTTAATTTCCCTTTCATTCGCATTCCTAACCGATCAAAAATAAAAACGACTACACTCTCGCGCAAAGTAGCGATCCACCGAACCGCACCGTTAACGAAAAATCAGTGCGCCCGCAGAATGTTCAACTTTCCACGCGCGTTATTTATTCGACGTTTCGAAAGTAACGAACCAATGAAAGCCGCATCCTCCCGGCCTCGGATTTACGATCGGGATTTGTCGGGACGACTCAAAACGATCGTGCAAATCGAAGGTAAGTTCTAATTGAACCGGGTGAGCGAGGCACCGATTTATCGATCTCCAGAATCCGCGATCGACTCGCGCGATTAAGACCGCATCATCGATCCGGGGGAGAGGAGTCCTTGCATCGAAATGTCAGGCAACACTTGATACAGTCTCCCCCGGTGCCCTCCGCGTGAATCATTCGACCGATGACGCGGGTACAGCACAGTTATTACGGTGGAAGCGCGGCCGTGTTTCGCGTCGATTAAACCTTAATTATTAACCGAACGGACCCGTGGAAAAGGTGTCGATGGAACGTAATTTTAAGGACAATCGGAAGCATCTTATCGCGTGGAACAAAGCGCGAGGCGTTTCTCAGCAATTAAAGTTTAATATCGGGCTGGATCGAAGGCCGGCCGACCGCTTCGCGGCAAGCCAATTTTACATGATTTAGCTGGGATGTTCTTTATCGGATAATCACGCTAAATCGAATGCTTAACCATGAATTTATTATACCCCTTATATTTACATCGAGTAATGGGCCGCCTTTTAATGAGATTCGAGTGCCTTTAATCACTCGCGATTTCATTCCCGGTAATAATGCCGGTGGAATCAAAAGAACCGTGTTTCCTCTCAAAGAGAGTAACTACTTTGAACACAGCAAACAACACGGGGGGAAACGATTTTTTATCGTGCGTTGCGCAACAGTTCGTCTTCGAACGAAACAAAAGGAAACCAGTTTCTCCGTTTTCATCGGGAAGTTTCCTAACGTTGTATCTATAGAATCGTATGATTCTATTTGTGTCTAGATACCAAATTCTAAAGGCATTAATTAGCTATCTGTATGAAACTTCACGTTATTCGTTTTCCGAATGAATGAGCCTGAAATTGCGTATAGATTTAACAGCGCATCATCGATCAAGATCGAAGATCTCCCGATAAAGCTGGCAAGATCGTTTCACGGGCAAAAATTGATTTGCCCGTGACGAACGACGATATTCCATACGATGCGTTAAATAAATAGGAAACGGGCGGACGCTGGCGGATGATTAATCTCGACGGCGTAACCGGAGCCGTCGGTTCTGGCAAGGTTGTAAATAAGTCTTAAAGACGCGGCGATCGCGCGAAGGCTGATTGGATAACGGAAAAAGGACGAGCCGAGCTATGTCGCGAGCGTGTTACCGCGAGCCCCGATCCTAATTACCCTATCCGGTAAAACACGCCTGCCGGCAAGACCGTTCGATGATTAGCGAGCGGTTACATGCGTCGGGTAATTGCATCGTTATCTTTGGATAAAGGCTGCTCGACAGCAACGCGGGGAATAGTGATCGAAAATACGCGTGACGCGACCAGGAAGACGATAGTTATAGTCTCCGCGAATCATTCAGCGAGATTTATCGAATTCGATCCGGGAGCTTGTATTGTTCTCTTACTGGATTCGATGGGGTGAGGATTAGAGAATGTTGCTTTAACGGCGGCAAACACTTATATATACGTTTATTGGTTACGATAGATGACCTTGATGATTTAAGACACAAACAAACTGCTCGATGTTTCATTTGGATTTGATTTTGTTATACCGTTTACAGGTTATACTATGTGCAGACCAGGTATGGCCAACTTCTGTGTATGACTTTTTCTCTTAAAAATGATGCACTTTGAAATCTCGACGTTCAACGCATTGAAACTTGTGTGTTGTGTACCGATAAGAGGAAATGAAGGTGTTAACATGACATTTTATTGACTGTGAACCAAAAATCGCTTTGCGGCCTGTTAGCTATTCGTATGTAGACTAGATTATTTACAAACTGGACTACCTTTTACTTCTTATTAATCCATCATCACAGTGAAGCGGTCAAGATTTCCAGCAAAACATCTGCTCCAGCTCGCTAAACACGTAATTTACGCATTAAAATGCAAGGAAAATAGTTTCCCGTTCAAAGAAACCGCACAGTAAGCTTGCCGAGGATAATAATCGAAAAACAACTGTTAAAAAATGTCGTGCAGAACCAACAAGCCCCGCAGCCGAACCCTGTTTTCCAGCGTCATTCCTGCCGGACCGAAATATCAATTTGTTTGAGAAACTGTTTCGCCCATCGCGGCGCCGTAAATTGCGAGAGGAGGCGACTGGCGGACAATTCGCGCATAATGTAACGCGGGAAAAAGAGTCCGTCCCGGGATTACGTTAATGACGGTGCATCGCCGTCGTCGCGCTGTAAAGAAGGAAAGCACGCCGGGGATATAATTAGAAATCTTTGTACTATAATGACCGGCGGAAAACCAGTTCAGGGTTGCGTCGATCTGCCCCGGAGACATCGACACGCCGCGAGACGCGAACTCGCCGGAGGAAAAACGATGCAGACGTAACGCTCCCGATCGACAATTACGCGGCTCGACGCAGGTTTTCCAGCGATACCTAAATCGGCAGCGATCGGCGAAATAAAAGTGTGTCGAGGGAAGTAAGAGGCGCGCTGCCCTTGCCTCGCCGCTGTGTTCTACACGCCATTGCTACGGCGGACAGCTGTGAATATGGCGACGGGCCTTTAATCCCGATGCTTGAGTTGTAGTAAACATTTGGAGTTGTAGTAGTGAATTATTTATTGATCGATTGTTTCTTGGTGATTTTGTTTTGATCAGTTTTGTTTGAGTTGTAGTAAATATTTAGATTTGTTGTAGTCAATTATTTATCGATCGATTGTTTCTTCGTGATTTTGTTTGGACCAGTTTTGCTTGAGTTGTAGTAAATATTTAGAATTGTTATAGTCAATTGTTTATCGATCGATTGTTTCTTGGTGATTCTGTTTGGAGCAGTTTTGCTGGGTCTATTTGGACCTAGAACGTAATCTCTACAGAATTAGATTTGGAAAATTCGTTACTAGGATTAATGGAATAAAGTGTTTTGTGAAAGTCATAGAAATTATAGAAGAATTATGAAATCTTGCCATTATTCCCAGATGTTATTATTGTGTATATGCAATGTCGCGGAGAGAAAAGACGCGACGCAGATTTTTTACTGAATTGTAAATTGCAACGCCCGATGTTAATTTTTTCTGCAACCAGTCACTTTTCCCCCAGAGACACCGCTCTCATTCCGCTCCACTTTTCGATCGTTTTTTTCAAGAGAAATCAGACTTTCGACTGGGAAAATCCGGCGAACGATCGCCGCGCGATCCGTGTTTTCGAATCGTTCGATTCAGCGATGAAGATCCTCGTCGCCACCATCGACACGGGCAGAACGATTGAAATCGCGAGGCAACGGATTAAGTCATAAATCAAGCATATTTCTATTAATAGTTGTGAATTATTTTTGCCCGGCGGAACGGCGAACACCATAAACGCGCATATAAGCGGTGTGCAACAACAACCGCGAGACTTTTAGAGGTACTTAAACCGTCCCTGTTCCCGATGACTCAATTTTCTAAGTACGTCTAGCCAGCCGGCCGGGGCGATTTCCGTTCCAGAACGGATCGGTTTCGTTCTCTAGCTTTGATTGCCCGCCGGGATCGTTTTACGAATAAAATAATTCGGATCGGAGAGAGCTGGAATGCGGCTGCAACGTGTAAGTCTATGATTACATCGGAAACGATTCGAACGAATCGATATTCCGGCAGACAAACGTCTAAAAGTCCCTGTTACTATGCAAGCACAATAGAACCGCAATTATCCGAATTAATTGGAAAGCAAACCAATCTGGACAGTTAATTCTTCGAATAATCAATTTGAACGCGCCAAACTTGTGAACATTTTATTTGATCGATCGGAAATTAACCAATTTTCAGATCCACTTTCACTCTTTCTTATGAACATCGCAGTGTATACACCTTTATGAGTTTGTATATGTAGGCTAACGGCACCTAATATGGAACAGCTCCTATTATGGAGCACATGACATGATGTGTCAGTTACCATGGGAAACACTTCATTTAACAGAAAACAATCCTATTAATAGTTGCGCGTCAATTAAGAATTTGTCGTTGAAACAAATTAACACAAGTTGAAAAAAGTAGTAAATCCACTTATTCGTCCTTTCTAATTCCATAACTGTTCATTTCTCAGGATAAAGGTGAATTTTGTTTACAAATTACCCAGCTGTTCCATATTAGGAGCCATCTTTCCAGATCATTGTTTTTAACCTCATTCACATTTTTCACTTTGGCTCGAAGGCATTTAAATTTCTGCACCATTATCGATCAGTGTACGAACGTTTATTAATTTCTTCGTGTTCCGATGCAGATTGCATCGAAGAACACGCACATCTCTCGTTCTGGAGAGGTTTTTAGATCAGGTGTTCCATATTAGGTGCCGTTATACTATACATATTTAATGACTCTGGTGTATCGTGTCCGTTGGAACGTCGATTCATTAGAATATGCGTTGATAACTGCAGCCAAAGTCACAATTCGCGTCCCACGGCGATGGAAAGCGAGAGATACTCTCTCGCGGGATTCTCGCTCGCTCGCGAGGTCGTAGCCACGTAAACGAGCGTATTAGAGAAATTGTCTAATAAACACGGACACGTATATCCGTTGTTAATGCGCGTCAGCGAGCCGGCCAGCGCGCGCACGCGTCTGTGTGCATCGGTTGCGCGCCGATGAAAGTGGTTTAACGAGTCAGCAGCCATTTCGTCGGTACTCGGGAGAGAGACAGAGAAAGAGAGAGAGAGATACGAGTGTTCCCCGGAAAGCGAACGAACCAAGGAACGTTCGTTCGGATGTTTGAATGTATCGATAACTATTTCGGTATTCGGTACGTTTAATAAATTAACACCGTAAAGAGACGAGCGGCCTGTGAAACGACGCTCGAGTGTCTTGGCAATCGCTTTCTTCGGAATCGGCGGCTTTGTTCGAATACGAAACGTCCGCGGTTAGTTTGCTCCTTGAGAAATTGCTTGTTAAGGACTAATTAAATGAGCGTTACTTTGTATTCGAGGAGTTTCATCTAAGCACCGCGTGATTCTGATTTCTGAATAATATCTTATTAATTGGATACTTGTATCTTGGAGGATCGATGAAAATAAATACCATTAGTGACATTAATTGTAACTTCATTGCACGAATGTATTACTTAGTAGTAATATAAATATCATTACAATAAATTAGAGGAAATTATGATATCAAGTATATACTGTACGATATATCGAGCGTTAACCCTATGATTTATTTCTCAACTATGATCGATAGGTCATCAATCGAATTACTCTATCGCTAATAACTAATCAACGAAAGAAAAATGTCGATGCTTATTCTATCTATGTTTACTCAAAACGTTAACGATTGATAATAAAAAGAGTAGTATTTTATTTATGTTTTGAGACAAATAAATAACACTTAGATCTGTCGAGTTCAGTTTAAAATTCTCGTCACGAGCCAGACGCGATATTATAGGTCAAGGGGTGAATAAAACCTCATACGGTACAAATGAAAATCGCAAGTGACAGTGCGCACAAATAGAATAATGGAATGCACCTCGGTGGCAAGATGGCGCCGGATTGTAGGCCGTCCATGGAAGAAAAAGCGGTCGGCGTGAGAAAAACCAAGGAAACTGAATCACGATGATCAAAACGTCCTCGGAGGATTCCATCCTGCGATCCGAGGAACAACTGGCCTCCTTATATGGTCCGGGAATTATCAAGTTGTTGCGGAGAGTAGGCTCCCTGTGTTCATCCGTCCGACGGGGGAAATTGTTTTCACTCGCGTGCATCGTGTTCGATCCAATTACACATAATCACGATGGTACACAGTGCAAGGTGCAACTGTTTGCCATCTGCAAAAATTCTTCGCACCTTGTCCTCATCTCCGAGGCTGGAAAAATCCTTATTGTCTTACAAGAATCGTTTCGTCTGCATAAAATGTCGATGAATATCTCGTATCAACGCTAAAAACTCGATTATATTCTTCTTGGAAAGTTGACAAACTTATATTCTGTAAATTTCTAATAATTTCTGGACATTTTTATGATACTACGATGCAATCCTTTCTCGTTCTCCGGTTTCCTAGGATCAAAACTTCAAACGATATCTCTAAACAAATCCAACTTTTTCCTGAAGTTCATCATTCATCGAAGATTCTACAATAATCAGCAGTGAAATTGACTTTTTGAAATTCCTCTGTAGAAACTGTAAGAATGCATGTATTGAAGCTTTAATTGATGTACAATTGAATCGATTGCTAAATCGATTTATTTAATCATCTCTCAGAAAAGCATCTTATCTTTGTAGAGAAGATGTAAAACACAGTTCGATGCACGCGTGTATTGTGGAAAAATAATAACCAGAGAGTGCAATGCTTAATGGCCGAGGTCCGGCCATCAAGCCCATTTTCGAGCGTTCAAATCGTTATCGCGTGGATCAATGGTTAATCGGATCGACGCGGTCGCGGAGCCAGTGTAGGCCGGGATCTCCTTGAGAAACGCGCCACCCATTACCACATTAGTCACATTAGTCACTCCCGGCTCCGAGCGATCGCTGTTTACTCCCGTGTAAGCGGACCGATGACGTCAGACCGCTGCAACGCTTTCGGTCGGAGAACGCGATCGCGAGGACAGTCAGAACCGCTTTTTCCATTTTCTTTTTTTACCGCGCGTTACGTCTGAAATGGTAAGAAGTCGCGTGGAGCCTTGGGGAACGTGTCGAAGCACACGTATGTCGGGTGAAAGATGTCGCGTCCTGGGGGACACGTCGGATGAAAGTTCTCGTTTAGTCTTGGAGAACGAGTCGAGCGAAGTGTTAAGCTTCAGGTGATATAGAAGACACTGAATCTTAGAAAATTCGCGATGAACCGGAATGTTTGTTAACTTTCTTTCCCTGTGATTTCTTTCTCGGCTGTTGGCGTT